TTTAAACAATTTAAAAAATCCCTTTTATATTGTGAATGTTTAAGAAAACAGCAAGGTATATTACAAGAAAAAATTTCTTATAAGGAAAAAATAGATAAATTCTATAATTTCTCCACTTTTTACCTTATTAGTTATTACTAATCATTATACAGACTAAYGGAGGTAAATGTGCTGAGTATAAAATTAGCCATGTATAATGTCCTCTTAAWCTAAAATTTTTATTTATCATTATGTTATATACATTTGCCTTATTACTTTTTAATTATTCAAATTGATTTATAGATTCTAAACATAAAGAACAAAAAATAATAAAGGATGCTAAGAAATCATCAGATCGTGAGTCAAAACGGCTTTTATTGCATGGTACTACTGTAAGTGTTATTTATTTTTTATTCATATTTATTTGTTTTGAGGATGTGATACCGGCATTTTTTGTCTCAGTCTTACAAGTGTGTAACATTCAAAAAGTTTTTAGCGCTGAATAGAACCACTTCTGTCTGTTCTTTTAGTAGAAACACCAAAAGTTAACAAAATATAGAAGATAATATTTTCTGTATCGTAGCGTTTTTATTTGTTTGATATCTCTAATAAGAAAAAAGTTATAATAATTTTAGAAATCTGATATTTTTATGTTTAACTTCAATAACTTTTTATATATTAGTCTTATCAAAAAAATAAAAAACACTGAGACAGTCAAAATTTGTTTTCTTAGTTATAATAGACTTTTCTCTAACACATGAGGATATCACCTCCTTGTCAAGATGCCAGATGGCAACTGACAATAAGTCTAAGAAAAATTAAATAATAAGTTTTTTTTAATTTATCAGTGTTTACTTCATATTTTAAATGTTGTATTTTAACAGTACTTACCTCTAACAAATAGGTATATTATTARTTAAAATATAAATTAGAGATAAAAAAAATACTCTGATTAAACCTAATCAGATATTGTTTTTAAATGGTGTATTTTATGACAAAACAAATGTAGGTATTTGTAGTATAACATTAAAATTGAATTT